CGCCGCGGCCATCGGCGCGTCCCCGACACGTTGTTGCGGAGGCCTGTGAGGGCAATCACAGGCTAGATGTCCAGGTTGATGACATGCATAACAGACGTTTAGATTGCTTGCGACTCCTCCAAGAGCGGGTGCCGGGGCTAACCCTTGCTGAATCGGAGGGGCACGCACCGCAGTGGGCCGCATGTTCCTCATCATGGCTTCCAACCGAGCATTGTGCTCTCGCTGCTCCTTTTTGCTTTCCTGAATTAGACTAACCAAGGTTTTGGTCAGCTCGAGTATGACAGTTGATTCATTCGATCGTACAGGAGTCTCGACTGGGGGCGGGGGTGCCGTTCTTACAGGCGTTGGCATTAAAGGGACGGGGATACTCAGGATCTCACTTGGAACTGGTCGTTTAGGGGCTATCTGTTCTATGTATGTGACAGGACCCGACACAACTTGTTTTGCAGCGCAGCCAATTCGACTTTTGCCCTTGCGAGTTCGGACGAATCTCCTTCCCTAGAATAGTCCTCTCCTTCCAGGAAGTTCGTCGCGAACTTCCGTTCCATGTCCTCTGCAGCGTCCATGATTTGATGTAATGTATGATTGATGAAAAAACTGCTTTCGCAGCTTCGCCCTTATTGTTCGGCTGCGGAGTCCGTCTATGAACAAATCTCTCCCTAGTTGCTCTCCTCGCTCAGTCTTTACAAACATTCGATATAACCGGTTTCGATACTCCGCAATAGACTCGAGAGATTTTTGCACTCGATCCTTGATCATGTAAAGCGCTTGCTCTGGGTGAACGTAATCAAATCGTTTCGGAAAGTCCCGTTCGAAGGTTTGAAGATCTACCCAGACATAAGTACTAAACCAGTGATGAGCGTCTCCTCCCAATCGAGCGGGGATGTTTACCTGAGCGTCGTTATCGTCATACTGCTGTGCTCGGAACGTGGCCAACCATGCTCCTGCAAGGTGGTGTGCAGGGTCAAATAAATATAGCTTTGGTGGCGTCATGGGAGCCCGTGCACGTGGGGCGGGTTGATTCGGATTCGGTTGATTGGCATTCTGCTGCGGGTTCGATACATTGGCAGCCATATTGGTTGCTCGTCGATTAGTTGTTCTACTCCGGGTGATGACAGGGTCGCGTCTATGCGCGTTCCGGGGGCGAGGCCGCCCTCGGTTAGCCAGATCGCCTAATTATCGTGCTATTGATCCTAAGACCCAGCCAAGTGTCGGGCTCCGATACCAACCCCACGCCCAACGCGACTTCCTGATCGGAGTGGGATGTGGGCCTGGAAGTGCGAAAAGGGGGTGTGCCAAGGATTTTTGGGGAAAGTGGAGTCCCAGGTCAGAACTAGGATCTCCTGTGACTGGGTCTTTCTTGGGCACGAGTGCAATTTGGCGAAGAGGGCGTTTTCGGGGTACCAGTGCGGTTCGCTCAGGACCGAGCGAGCCATTGGTTTCGGGGATGGCGTGTCGGGGGTTGGTCCCTTCGGGTTGGTGGGGTTCCGATGAGTTCATTTGTCGTGAGTTGCCACGTAGCGCTGGTCGTCGCACGTGCGGGCTAGGCCTTCGAAATTCCGGGGTTCTTTGATCGCCGCGCCGTCGACAGTTCCCGCAGGGTGTGATGGGCCAATAGGGGGCTATGGCCGGCCACGGAACGACACTGAGCTGATGGTACGGAAGAAGAAGGCGGAAGGGAGGGAAGCTGGTGGTGATGACGACAAATCCCGGGTGGATGAAGTAGTAGGTATGGTCGAGAGAAGGGAAATCAGAGCACTGGGGGTCGCTAGAGGTGGCGCAGTGGAACTCTCGAGGACATAGTCGATTCTCAGTGTGGCAGGGGTATCGCTGTCTCAAGATTTCGTTTATCCAAGGGGTGAAGTAGTCTAGGTCGTATGATGAGTCGGAATTCCAGGATCGCGTCATTGTATCATTGCGGTATTATGAGTTGCCTAAGGGCGGGTCCGCGGCGATTGCAATTGCCGCATGCGAGCACGTGTAGGCCACGCAAATGGCGTCGGACTTATGCGTGCTCGTGCGGGGCGACTGCGCCGTTGCAGATTCTGGGATGGGGTACGTGCGATCGATGGTCCTGATGAGTCGACGCCTGGGGATACGTGTAAGTGTGCAACTCCGATCGTGTTTTACACGTGTTCTCGCGCGACGTCCGCCAAGCCCGGCGTCCGATCGTCTAATCACTCCGTGCTATTCTGAGCATGCAAGATGCAACGATCACAACCAGTCAGCTTGACCAAAAGGCAAACAGAGACAAAGACAGGATTATCGATTGCGCAAAATCCCTATTCTACACACGAGTGCGTCGAATGCGACCAACAAAAGCAAAGACAAGGGTTCCTCAACAAAAAGATAGGCAATCAAACATGACATCCATACATCC